CCACCACACACACACACACACACACACACACACACAGGAGAAGGTGGATCCCCCACTGCTGAAGATTGGCCTCAAGGGTGCTTTTTCCCCACTTTTTTTAATGGCGTTCTTGTTCCAAAGCAGCATTCTTCACATGACAAGCCTCGACAGGCTCCAGATTCACAGGAGCTCTGCAGCTTTTTCCACATCATTAGCACCTCAGCTTGTGAGGGATCATAGAGTTACGACAGTAAATCTTTACCTCTTGAGGCTAACATGCAAGAGCGGCATGTTAATCAGTGTACTCCTCTATGCGACATTGTTTCTGTTGTCCTTGGATGTCCTTGGAAGACGCAGAAATATTTCCTTAAGGGAAATCGGATTTTTCTGCAGTCTATAAAGTGCAGGACATTATGCAGCATTTTTTTTTTCATTTTACTGACTGTCATCCTGTATTATCTTTCTAATCCCTCAGTGAATTTCTCCTCCTGCTTTTTCTCTTTGTGTAATACTTATATCTCCTCTAGGCACGTTTTGATATACATGAAATACCACAATATTCCTATATAGTATATAGTATGGCTACTTCTGCTTTCCGTAGAAGAAACAGAAACTGTGTGCAAGTTTGGATCTTTCAGGCCACTTCTGGTGAGCAAGTTACACTCTTCTATCAGTAACTGACATAAATCAAACTGAACATTTAGAATAACAATAAGCATTTTGTTTTTGCTAAACCATCACAAGAAGCCATGAAACTAACTGAGAAACAGCTCGTAATGCACATTACTCCAATGGCAGGTTTTCAGTTACAAAGCCATCATTCTCTTTAAAGTCAGATTAAAAAGATGAAATAATTCATTGTGAATGAAAAGCATGCTGTAGTGGTTAACACGTTTGCTTTACATATAAGACATCCCCAGTCTGACACTGAGGAGACATAAATCCAGCCTTGGGTGGGTGAGTGGGAGGGGTTATAAACCAGTGTATTCTTAGTGCAGGGCCCAGGCCTGTATGTTGTGTCAGGAAGGGCATCTGGTACAGAAACTGTGCCAAATCAAGTATGTGGATCCATCTGCTGTGGTGAAACCTCGGGGAATGAGGAAGCAGCTGAAAGATGATACATTGGTTAAACTAAAACTCCTGTTTGGCTTCAAAGTCGTGTAATGTTTTGCACTGTGTGAGTTCTTTTGGAAAATAACATCTGTATTTTGACTAATATCTTATTATTCTAACTTTTATACTTATTTTTCTGCTCCTATTTTGGCATTATTTTCATACATCTTACTGATATTTCAAGAGTCAATTTGCAGTAACTTTTTTGTCCATCTTGGCAGGGAGAGCGAGGCTTGGAAGGGCCACGGGGACCCAGAGGACAGCCGGGTGCTGGAATCAAAGGAGACAAGGTGGAGTTTAAAGAGGCCTTAACTAAGGCGCCTGCTGAAAAGCCTTCACACAGCCATGAAGAGAAAGCCGGAGTCCTGTTGTGAAGAAGGCCATAAGTTGGCAGAGCCACGGATGAATGCATTCAGTGCAGTGTTATGTAGGAGGTCACAGTCCACAGATGATGAATCAAGGTCAAAGCATGGATAGTGTAGGAGGAGCGCAGTTTCACTGCTTGTGCTGATGAATGTGGAAAAGTTAGCCTGCAGTCAGGTACAGTCAGACATAGACATAAAGGTAAAGGTTTGTCTTTCAGGATGTGTTTGTAGAGCTTCACAGCCATCTGGCAGCATTTTAGCTCACAGACTTACAGACAAAGAAAGGCTGAGTTGATTTTTAGCTATGTAATTCTTTCTGCTACATGAAAAATCATTTCCCCCCCAAAAAAACTTTTTCGTTGTGATTTACACGGGTGTTCTCAACACCGATGTTGCTGACAGTTTTACCGTGGGCTTTGTAGTGAAGTTTATTGGAGGTAATCACAAAGTTTTCATGCAGTAATGACAAACACCGCCTGCAGGGTTCTCTGCATTACCATCATATATTTGTGATGTGATTATAGCATGTGACAGATAAAAGGAAGTGAGGCAAAAGGAGCAGATGTCATCATGTGTGGCCTATATTATTAATTCATTAAAATGCAGCGCTATAGAATTGTATACAGATGGGTGTTTTCCACATATAATAAATCACATTTCAGTGTGAGGCACTGTCAACCTATTAACATTTACATGTTGTTATCTGAACTTGTAGGGGGATTTTGGGCCACCGGGTCTTCCAGGGCTTGTCGGTCTCCCAGGACTAGGCATACAGGGTGAGAAGGCAAGTGTTGGACTCATAATATGATTCCCACAGTGGCTCTAATACATTAATTTTTTCATGTTTTTATAATCACAGTGGGCTTATATTGATTTTTTTTAATAGTTTTTTTTAATTGTTACTGTCACCATCCATGTTTTGACTTGTTAATGTAAGGCAATAGTGATGAACTGACAATTATCAATAACATAATGAGGAAAATGTATTGTTTAAGTAAGATACCATATGCAATATGACAGAAGTTTGTAGTTTATCAATGATTCTCAATCCAAGCGAAGCCCTTTTTTAGTGCTAAGGAGCGTGCAAACATTCCTGCCTGTGCACTACTGGCTCTGTTGTGCTGGCTCCGGGTCCAATGTGTAACTGATGCTACCAACATTAACAGGACGCTTACAGCCTCTTATTGCGTGTTTGTCTGGTGTTCTGACAAAACGTCCTACTTTGTCAAAACATCTTACCGTAGCGTAAATTTATAGTCATGTCAATCAATCTGTGCTACCTTATCAGAATATACTACCTTACGTGGTTTATACCTCCATCGTACATATCTATAGGTAGGACGCTTTGATGGCCAAATCACACTTATCAAAACGTGCTTCCTGCTTGGATTTATACAGTAAATAAAATGACCAATGTCAAGGTTCTTAGAAATTAAACAACGTTATCACTCAATTAACAAGTATGTAGTGCAATATTACTTTCTTCGACATAACAACGGAGCGTGGTGTCCACTAACTGCAGGAGGACTAAAATTAATTGACAAGGTTTACACTGTATGCCAGTTTACAGAAGTTTAGAAGTACTAAATCAAGACTTGAAATATGACTTCAATTGAGACTCCAAATTGGAGTATTTTTGCACAAATGAACGCATGTTAGCTTGAAAAGTTAACAAATTGACAACAGCTTAAGGAAAACAAGTATCAACTGTAATAAACTGTCAGTAAGAACAAGTAGGAGAGCTTGATAGGTAGGGTGTTTTGTCAGAACACCGGCAATGCGCAGAATTATCAAAATTAGACAGGGGATAACCTAACATATGAAACAGGAAAAAACTGCTGTGTAATCCATTTATTCCACCAAAGTAACTGTATTCTAATTATCATCTATTTAAGCGGTAACTGTAACAGAATACAGTTACTCATATTTTGTATTTTAAATATGTAACGCCTGTTCGTGTATTCTGTAACTCCCCAATACTGACCACAGTAAACAATAATTCTGCCAAGATCTTCATTGTAGCACGTTCGTTGAGAACAGGTCAATCTGACATTAGCATTTAGCTTAAATCATGCCCGTGCCAAAATAGAACACCTTCAAGCTGCTAGCATCAGTACAGGGAGTGCAGAATTATTAGGCAA